GATATGTTGGTGAAATGGATGGATAGATGGCAGGTGGGGTTCAATACGGAGAAGTGAGAGATTATGTATTTTGGTAGAATGAACATTGAAAGACAATGTAAATTAAGAGTTACAATTCTAAAGGGGACACAGGAGCAGAGGGAATACAATGTGGAGCTGGAGGAACACAGCACGCCAGGCAGCATCAGAGGAGCAGGAAAGTTGACGTTTCGGGTTGGGACCCTTCTTCAGAGGGCAGGATGAAAGGGACCTCGGTGCATATGTGAACAGATCAATGAATGTGGCAATACAGGTGGAGAAAGCAATTAATAAAGCATACAGTTTCCTGAGCTTTATTAACAGCAGCATAGAGCAAAAGAGCTCGGAGATAAGGTTGAACTTATTAGGCACTTGTTAGACTTCAGCTGGAGTATTGTGTACAGTTGTGAGTGCCACATTATAGGAAAAATATGAATGCATTGAAAAGAATTCAGAAGCAACTTACAAGAATGGTTTCAGGAATGAGAAATCTCAATAATGAGGATAGATTGAAGAATTTGGGACTGTTCTCATTGGATAGAAGCAAAGAGCAGATCAGATAAAAGTTTTCAAAATGATGAGTGAGCTGGATAGAGTTGATACGGAAAACTACTCCTGCTTACAAAGGGATCAAGAATCAGAGGGCACAGACCTCAAGTGATTTGCAAAAGGATCAAATGTGATGTGGAGAAAATAAACTTCTTCACTCAACAAGTTGTTAGGGTATGGAATGCCTGCAAGTATGGTGGAGGTAGGTTCAATTGAGACATTCAAGAGGATATTGGATGATAATTCAGATAGACATAATGTGCAATGGCATAAGGAAAGAGCAGAAGATTGGCAGTAGAAAATGATACTCATTTCAAGAGCTGGATGGTGCAGGCACAATGTGCTGTAAGGCCTCCTTCACTATAATGCTTCTGTGATTCTATCGTGGTCATTAATTGACCACTTAGAAACATTAATTAGGGACAGGTTGGCAGGAAGAAACTTATTTTCTCTCTCCACAGATGTTGCCAGACATTTTTTTTTTAGAATTCCTACAGTGTGGAAACAGGCCCTTCGGCCCAACAAGTTCGCACCGACCCTTGGAGCATCCCACCCAGACCCATCCCCCTGTAAACCACCTAAACCACACATCTCTGAACACTACGGGCAATTTAGCACAGCCAATCCACCTAACCGTTGCTGAGTACTTTTAGCAATTTCTGTTTTTATGTCAAATTTCAAGTATCGCTATGTCTGTTTTAAACTTCTGATCCTCTGTCTCAACTCATCATACTCTCTCGAGTTCACTTCAGAATCTCTAATTGCATGCAAACACTTCAACCCATATCCATGGCCATCCACTTGATCTTGCCATCTCACTTGGTCTTGCTACTCCCATCCTAACAATCATAGATAAAGCTAACTCTCACCACTCCCTTGTATCACAATTTGCATTATCTTTCCATGCTGCAACTCTGATTTAAAAAAAAAATCCCAATTCAATTATAACTGCACTTTCAAAATTCCAGGTGTTGAGTCTTCGGCCATTCAGTTGCCATAAATTTCCACACCTACTGCCAACTGCACTCTCGCTTTCATCTTTGATGCCCTGGTTTCCTACAAAATCATTAATGCCTTTCATCAAGGACATTCTTCTGGTATGACTGTCATCCTCATGCCCTTAACTTCAAACAGTCACATCATTGAACAGATTTAGTGGACAAATGGTTTAGCCATTCACTGCCAAATCTGGATGAACCACGTAAAACACACCAGGTCCTGCTCTCATTTGCTAAAGCTGATTCCATGATCATCCAGTAGCAGATGATTAAAAAGCTAATAAAGTGGGAGAAAATTGATTACATAAATAAATTGACAAAAAATATAAAAACAAGCAGCAACATGGGTATATGAAAAGAGAGCGGCTAAAGTAAGTTTAGAACCATTGGAGAATGCAACTGGGAACAGGAAAGAGAATTTGAGGCCTAGACCAAATCATCCATTATCTTGTTGAATGATGGGGCAGACTTGTGAGACTAATGGCCTATTCCTGCTCCTATTTCTTATGTTCTTAGGTAATCAGCTAAGTAGTCAGCAGATAGCACTTGTCACGCAGTTACTATCTGCTGGTTTTCCATAGTGGCTCAGATGCAGCTACATAGCAACCATTCACGGAATTAAGGCATTGTAAATGCTACCAGGATGTCAGGGTTTGACCTGCACGGCACCTCTGTCTATTGTCACAAGTAGACACTGAAAGTGCAGAATCCCTTTTGATTGTGGTACACAGCAAGGTTGAAAATATGATACCTTCAAATCAGTCAATGCATCTGCACCATAGGAACACTGCAATCCTAGTAAAGCCATGCGTTCACTTTGCCTTCTTCTCTCTAGTAAAAGAGAATGAAATTTAGTTATCTCTGAATGAATAGAGAGATCAGTGATCTGCCTCACACAATGGCAGATGTCACATTACTCGAAGTTGGAAGGAACCAGACTCATAAACATTCATCACCACAGCCACTGTCACCTTCACAGTCACCGACATGGCTATCCTTGCCCTCCTCTGAGGTTGTAGTTGTGGTTGCACATTTGCTGGATTTGAGGATGTCCAGACAGTGAGGGGTTCTTTCTGCAGCTGAATGTATGTTAAGCAGTATGCAGTCATGAGAAACCATTGTCTGGAGCAGTGAACTCCAAAATCACTCAGTAGGTACCAAATTAGCATTGCATGTGAATTGCAATGCCAGATAATGTCTTTACCAACATGTGCAATTCGCTGAAATATCATGCACACACCACTGCAGATGCCATTTTGAATGCCAAAGATCATTCATAGCACCTGAAGACACTGCTCTAAATTTTGCACTAGCAATATATTATAATTCCTTGTTTAATAGTTGTAGTGCTTTTCCTCTTACCTTAATCCCAGATAAGAATCCAAAGACTTTTTTGGAAACAAAAATAGATTGAGTGAAATATACTATAGTTCAAGAATCTGTTTTGTTGTTTTTAGTGACAATCCTTTCACAGAGGTACATCATGCTGTCCCATGCACTGGTCAATGAAATTCACCTTTTTTAATGTGATCTAAACAAGATGAAGATGGTGGCATACTGGTAATGTCGCTGAACTAGTTTACTAGAGACCCACACAAAATGCTGTGGGGACACAGGTTCGCATCCCACCAGCTGGAATTTCAATTAATAAAAATGGAATTTAAACCTACATGAAGCTATCATTAATTATTGCCAAGACCTTTAGCGAAGGAAATCTACTGCCCTTACCTGGTGTGATCTACATGTGAATCCACAGCAATGTCTTGGCTCTTAACTGCCCTCTGAAATGACCTAACAGATTACTCTGTTCAAGCACAATTAGGGATGGGCAAGCAGATACCAGCCAGGGTCATGGGGAACAAGATGTTCTACTGCAAGGTGCAGTGACAGATGTTAGCATCATTGCCTGCAGCAAGTCATGTGAAGGACATTTATCACACATTGCATGTACTGAACTCACACAAACTACATAAATTTAATCCCTCCATTCCAGATGACTCCTCGAAAGATTATGTTCCTTTCCCATATATGTTCCAGTCACATATCATATTCATCCAGCTTGGATAGCAGAATGGAAGACCATAAGGATAATGGTCAGTTCTGAAATTTAACAGGATCCAGCTCAGTGTTTGCTGGACTAACTCGACGAAAAAAATCAAGAAACTTCTCCAACAATGTGCAGGCCAGTACAAGTCTCACAAGTTACCGGTGTTTCTTCAGTCAGAAACAGTTCTCCCATATAACAAAATTGTTGCTGAAGTGCATTAGAATACGTCAATCATCAAAGAGAACTAGTGAAACTACAGAAATCCAAAAGCAGCATGGAGTTCATCCTTGGATGTTCACTCAGCAGAAGCACAGCAAGTTGCTCATTGGGTGGGAAGGCAATGACATAAACACCAATATTCAAAGTTTCACACTTTCTATTCCTAAGTGTAAATAATTTGCAGAAACCAAAAACAAAGAAATTATTTCAAACCCTTGTCCTGCATTATTCCCAGCATCAGCAGCCATATAGCATCATATTTCAATGTATCAGCGCAGTCCTCTAATGAGCACTATGCAATTGAGGTGGATATTCACTTTATAAAATCTATACGTACAATACATTTTTGAGATATCCCTTAATGGTAAAAAATGTAACTGTAACTTCGCTCATCCACGCAAGACAAATCATACCTATCTTTTAACAAATTATCATACAATATTATTGGATAAATTTTCAATAATCCCAATATCTTTTGCAAAATATGAACTGTGTCATCTCCCATTTATCTGTATGTTTTTATTGCTTTTAGTTACGTTGACCAGCTTTTGTTATTAATCTTCAACTATTGTACTTGCAGCCATCCTAACAAAGCTCTAACACATGAAATGGACTGATTTCATAACATTTCATTAACTGTGTAATTTACTGTGGTGCACATGAAAGAAAAGTAGTCCAGTTTTTATCAGACAACCGCACAAAAAGTAATAATTCCTAGTTTAAACTTCATAGTCCACACCTCTTTATATAAAGTTCTGAAGAGAAATAAATCAGAAATAATAAGGCTAGAATTCTAGCACAAAACTTCATCTTCTCAGCTGTAACTACTTAAGTTTTCCTTCTTTGCAAGTTGTCAATTTAATGTTCTCAGCATAATACAGATCAAAAAATGAAATTAAAACAAAACACTTTTCCTCATCTTTTCTATCATTTTGATCCATAATTATTGCAAAGACAGTCTTTTGGACATATTGTAACATATTTCTATTTTTCATTTTCAGCCCTGAGAATTGCATTTATACAGAAAAAATAACAAAAAAGTAGCATCTGTATTAACATCTTTATACAATTTGAATCTAATGCATAACTACCAAAATATAATATTGTTCATAATGTATCAAATGCGCAACGGTCATTTTCTGTCTTCTTCCTTTGTCTCATTAAGACTTGCTGAATTACAATTTTTCTGGTACTCACATCAGGATTCTGTTATTAAAAGAAAAAGGACAGACTTGCATTATACAGCATTTTTCATGGCCATTGGATGTCTCAAAACATTTTGATAATGTTAAATAATTTTTGACATGTCGTCACATCATAATATAAAAATGAAGCAGGCAATGTGTTCAACAAGCTTTCACAAACAGAGTTGTGATAATGACTGGATAATCTATTTCTGTGATGTTGACTGAAACATTAATCCTGGCCATGACACCATGGATAACCCCTCTGCTTAGCTTTATGTGGCCATGGGATCTTTGACATCCTTCTAAGCATTGAGCTTGAACCTGGATTTAAATGTTTCATCCAAAAGGTAGCACCTCTGAAAATGCTCCCTCTGTACTGCACTGGAGTGTCAGCCTTGAACTTTGTGCTCAACTCCTGATGGAACTTGAATCCAAAACCTTGTGAATCAGAGGCTAATGTGCCACCAAATGAAATATGGCTGTTCCTCCAAAGGGAAGCAAACTATTAAAGTGCAAGACTATTTAATATATGGTACTGTTACCATTAGGTCAAAATACTAGTACTTCTATCTGGCATCAAATCAGGCCATAATCCTTGTTGATCATTGAACTCGAATGAAGGTGCCAATACGCCCACTAAGCTGAGCACATGTGGAGGAACACAGCAATCTGGAAGTACCATGCAAGACTTGTTCAAAGTGAAACACCATGCATCTACAAGTAGATGCACAAAAAGATGTAAGGCTAAATAATATTCCAAACATGGTTTGGCACAACAGCAACATTTAAAAAGAAGCAATGGAGGTTACCCACTAAAAAGTCTTATCTGTAATCTTTCTAAACAACATTTACATAAGAAAACTTGAAAAGAGGCAAATCCATTTGGTCTAATCAAGTCTATTCCTTTCAAGGATTATGTACACAAGTATTGGAGTTGGATCATTGGTATAATGCCTTGCAGACAATATTGTTGTGTCCCATTGTGTCCAAGTCCATTTTGAGTTTGACCTGTATATGGACATTATATTTATGAGGAGAACCTATACTAAGCCATGCATCAACTTTAAGATGCATCACCCTAGAAGTTGTCAATGGCTCAAACTGATCTGGATGTAGATTTGAGAGATCATGTATGGATTTAATTCATTTGTCTGGTTTATGCAAATCAAAAATGGCTGTTTGAGCAATGTAGAAAGTATCTGCTGTTTATTCAGAAGAACCATGTTGACATTATTCCTCTCAAATATCAATGTAAAGAATTCTAAACCCATGAAAGACAATGAGCTTGTTGTGTGTGGACTTTACCACATTGTGACATTTGCATGCATAATCTCATTGAGGATGTTAATGAGGTAGTTTAGTGGTTAGACATGTGTTGACTTTGGCATGCAATTTGTGTTGGCCATTCTTCTTGGGATACATAAATTAGATCATAATATATGCTTCAGTTCTTCAGTGGTGTGTGAAATTGACCACATGTACAGTTAGTTAGGATCCCTAAGCTGGCTACATACAATTATTTGCTGAACTTCATCCACATGTTTGTACTTTAAGGGTGTAACCTTGGCAATATACTTCATATTGACTTTGGCTGAACCCTCTTCATGTGTGTTGAGCTTTTGCTACATCTTGTTCTGCTCCTGATAATTAGACTCCCTGCACATCTTTATCCAGTGCTTCCTTGCGAGCTACAGCTTGCATGTGTCATAGAATGCTGGACACTGTTTTAGTAAATGGAATAAACCATAGCTCGTTTATGATTTGGGTTGTATATTGATTTTGTCTACCATTGCTACTTTTGTGCAGTCAAGGGCCTGATGACTTTGCTGTCCTGCAACAATGACTTAAAGTAAGTTAATACTAGACAGTCAAAATGGCTTTGTCAAGGGTAGGTCATATCTGACAAATTTGATGAGGATGAGGCAGTGGATTACGATAGTGCTGTGGATGTTGTACATTTGGACTTTCAGAAAGTATTTGATACAGTGCCAAATGGCAGGTTGATTAGCAAATAAGAAATGTTTGGGATTGATGGGTCCTTGGCAGCATTGATTAGAAGTTGATTAAAAGATAGGAAACAGAGGTAGGTGTAGATGGGCATTTCTCATATTGGAGAGGACTTGATTGTAGTGTTCCCCAGGGATCAGTATTGGGACCCTTGCTTTTTCTGATTTATTTAAACTATTTGGATGGGTGTTGAGGGCAAAAGATCTAAATTTGAGATTGTACAAAGCTAGGGTGAATAATGAAACATGAGGATGATGCTAAGCGACTTCAGAGGGACATTGATAATTTGGCCAAAAAGGCAGACACCTGGCAGGTGAATTTCAATGTCAAAGAAATGTGAGGTAATGCATTTTGACGGAAACATGGAAAGACAATACAGGGTCAATGAGGGACCTCAGGGTTCATATGTGTAATTCTGAAGTGGCCAGGCAAGTTGAAACAATTCTTAAGATGGCTTATAAGATACTTGGGATTATAAATTGAGGCATAGAGTATAAAAGCAAAGAAATGATGCTACACCTCTAAAAATCATTGGTCAGACCACGTGGAGTATTGCGTTCATTTCTGGGCACTTATTTAAAGAAGGATATTAACGCCCTGGACACAGTGCAAAGGAGATTTACTAGAATGATGCCAGGAATGAAGGATTTTAGATAAGATTAAAAGGTAACCTTATTGAAGTGTTCAGAATTATGAATGTTAACAGGGTAAAAAAGAATATTCTGTTTCTACTAGTTGGTATGTCAGTGATTAAGGGCTACACTTTCAAGATTGTGAGCAAGATAGCTAGGAGTGAGATGAGAAGAAAGTCCTTACCCTGAGAGTTGTTAGGGCTTGGAATGCACTACCTGGGAGAGTGGTGGAGGTGTATTCAAATGATGTTTCAAAAGAGAGCTGGATACATATTTGAAAGTGATGAATTTAGAAGGCTACAGAGATAGGACTAGAGATTGGGACTAGCTTGGTGACTCCTTCAGGAGCTGGTAGAGAGACACACAGAATCATAGAATCCCTACAAAGTGAAACAGACCATTTGGTCCATCAAGTCTATACCAACCCTCCAAAGAACATCCCACCCAGTCATGCTCCATCACCCTATCGCTTTAACCCTGCATCTCCCATGGCTAACCCACTTAGCCTGCACATCCCTGGATACTATGGGCAGTTTAGCATGGCCAATCCATCTAAACTGTACGTCTTTGGACTGTGGGAGGAAACCAGAGAACCCAGAGGAAACCCACGCAAACACAGGAGAATGTACAAATTCCACACAGACAGTCACCCAAGGATGGATTCAAACCTTTGGTGCTGTGAGACAGCAGTGCTAACCACTGAGCCACTGTGCCAAATTGCTATGAAGTATTCCATAAGTCGATTGACCTTCTATACTGTACAATTCTATGATTCTATGAATGGAATATATTCACAGATCATTCTACTACTGATAAGTTGTTGCGGTGCAAAATGAATGCAAGCACTTCAGATTAATTACTGCTTGCTTGTATACTTCTGTCCTGGACTCAACAATGTAGCGGTGTTTAGTGAAAAGCCCATTTTCTCACATGTTTCAGAGAAGGACTCAACAGTGATGTGGGGCTTCTGAGTGAGTATGGACACAAGCTTCTTTTCTTCCTATTTCTTCATAATTTCTATCACAATCCTTCTCACAGAACACAATGCTCCCAAGTTTGTGTCATCTGCAAATTTTGGAATTGTGCGCTTTGTACCCAAGTCTAAATCGATCATATACGTAAAGAAATGTCATGGCCTTAGTACTGGTCCCCATAGTACACCCATGTATACCTTCCACCAGTACAAGAAAAAACTGTTTGCCACTACTCTTCGTTTCCTGTCATTTAGCCAACTTCAAACCTATTAAGTGACACTCTTCAAACCATTTTTGGAAGCCCACATAACACCACATCAAACATATTACCCGCATAAGACTTCCTGTTACTTCATCAAACATGTAGTCAGTATAATTGTACACAATCTGCTTTTAATAAATCTATGCTGTTTTTCCTTAATGGATTGACATTTGTCCAAGTCACATTAATTTTGTCTTGGATTAACACTTGCTAAAGCTTTCTCACCATCAAAATTAAACCAACTGACAATTGCTGGGTTATTTTTACACCGGCTTTTGAACAAAGAACACCTGCAGTTCTCTAGTTCTCTGGCATAAATCATGTATCTGAGAAACATGGCAAAATTATTGTCAGTGCCTTTGCAATTACCACTCTTAGTTTCCTCTGCATGCTTAAATACATCCTATCTGGTCCTGCTGATCTTTATTAAACTTTTAAACCAACTTTATCCCCGCCTTCATTACAATTTCAGTAGCACTGTTTTCATCTGTCTTTAGCAGGGAAATGTATTTATTCAGTATCTCAGTCATGCCCTCCGCCTCCAAGTGCAGAATCCTTTTTTGGGACTTGGGTTCAATTCCAGCCTTGGGCAACTGTCTGTGTGGAGTTTGCACATTCTCCCCGTGTTTGCGTGGGTTTCCTACTAAAGTCCAAAGATGTGCAGGTTAGGTGGATTGGCTATGCTAAATTGTCCACAGTGTCTAGGGTGGCAAATGCAGGGATAGGGTAGGGTGTGGGTCTGGGTGGGATGCTCATCGGAGGGTCGATGTGGACTCAATGGGCCGAATGACCTGCTGCCGCACTGTAGGGTTTCTATGATTCGATGATTCTATGCTCTCTGATTAGCTTCCTCAGACTACTCTTTTACTATTTATATACCTACATAGGATTTTTGGATTCCCTATTAGGTTAGTTGTCAGTTTCTTCTCATACATCCTTTTGCCTCTCTTATTTCCTCTCCCACTTACTCTCTGAATTTTCTTTAGGCACCATGGTTCTCATTTGTACTATCAACCTGACATCTGCATTTATGTCCTTTTCCTGTTTCTTCCTATTTTCTATTTATTCATCATTCAGGGAGCTCAGGCTTGTCTGAGCTTTCCTCCTTGTAGGAATGTATTTAGACTGTGCTTGAAACTACTCCTCTTTAAAAGCAGCCCAATGTTCTATTACAGTCTTGCCTGCCAACCTTACGTTTCGTAGGCCTCCACCTACGTTAATTGGTTCTCCTCAAACTAAGTATTTTTCCTGTAGACTATTCCTGTTTATTTGTAGCTAATCTAAGCCTAATGATACAATAATAATGAAGTGAATTTTTCTTTTATCTTGTACTTCATTGTTGTAATATTTTCATCATCATACCCTATAAACGTCATACCTGCACTGGAAACTACACAGGTCTTCCTGCATTTATCTTCAGTGTCAAAACGATTAGCATTTCCATTGCAGCCACCGTACCAAAACTGTGCACAAGCATTGGCCTGTTTGTCATAATACCATTTAATTACATAGTCACGACATGTTCCTTGGTCCAAGTGGAGCTGACAGGGAGGGTCTAGAAAAAGAAGTAATTAGCATATTGGAACACAAGCTGCAACTGTTAGTCCAGCTACTAAAACAATTAAGACATGTTTGAAAAATAATTGTTTATCAACGCAAATTTATTATAGATTTTATATTTGGAATCATAGTGTTTTATAAAATTCAAATAGAATCCATAGGAGCAAGTGCAGTATATAACTTTCTCACGTAATGTCAAAGAAGGATCTATACATTAAAGGCCTTCTCACAACTCTTGGAAATATATGAAATGCAGAGACTTTTCTCAGTACACATTTGGCAAGCATTTTGTTAACGTCCCCAAAAAAACAATGAGGTGAACCGGCTTTTTTGCTGCTTTGAGTTAAAGATAAATATTACCCAGGATTTTATATATTTCAAACAGGTGTTTTCTGTACTGGAAAACTTCTTTGGGCTAATAATGCCAAATGTCAAACATATCATATTGCAACATTCAAACCAGCTCTCTTTGTACAATTTAATATTGCTAAGCCAAGCTTCCAGTTTAGTGCTGAACAACTGCATTTATTTCACTGCATTCCTTTGAGATTATTACAAATCAGCTAAAGCAGTATCCTTCCATTATCCTAGTAACCAATGTTAAAATTCAAACCCATCTCAGATAAATGTACTACATTTTAATCTACCATGGCACTTAATCAGTCCAGTCATCAGGCTTTGATCATAATTTATGCCGCAGATATAAAATCACAATTTTACCTGAAACTGGTATTTTTACTGTTGGGGATACTGACAATGTGGATTCTTTCACTGGTTTAACTGATTGTGAGTGTAGACCTGGAACTTGTTGACTGGTTGAGACGTAGCTACCACCCTTTGAAGTAGTTGACAGAACCCGAAACTTGTAATCCTCTTTCTCCTTATCATGTGCTTTTGGATTTTGGTTCATCTATATGATATAAGACATCAATCACTCCTTGTGTGTGTGAAGAAGATATTTTGATTGCAATCAAAATTATTGTTGGCAATAGTTGTGCTATTTAGTTTAGACTTTTGAAAATGTCTCATTCTGTATCATTTTTTTACATATGGCTTGATACATCCAAAGTATTTGCCAACAGTTCCACTTTATGAAGAAACATTTTGGTGAGTACATTTTTTGTCATATTGTAAAACATTAATGCAGAATAGATAAGATGAATTGATACCTGTTTATTGACCTTTGAAGACTTTCCTATTGAGATGGATCCAGATAGAGATGGCTTCACTTGCGCAGTTATTTTCATCTTCCCAGAGGCAATTGTTTGTGTAGGTTTTGGAGAATTTAACTCAATTTCATTTCTGGTATGTGTAGAACTAGGAACGTAATATAATGGACTTCTGTTTGTTATTACTCCATTTCCGACACGATTGTAAATCAATGCACCATTTTCATCTTCACAGAACTGTCTGACCAATTTTGATTCCAGAGCTAAAAATGGGAGAAAGGATAAACATTTTTTTTCTTGTAATTCCCATCATAGACTTGGTAAAATCCTTTATTCATGAATACCACCCAAGTCTTTAAGATGCCCTTTCAGCCAGCACAGCCTACTGATATAAACACAGCAGTAGTCACACTACAATATGACTGGACAATTGGAAGATACATGATTAGTTGGAAAAATATTTCTTCGAAGAAGCCTTATATTGGACTCAAATTATTAACTCTGTTTTTCCCTCTTCACAAATGCTGCCAGTTCTGCTGAGTTTCTCCAGAATTTTGTGTTTTTGTTTCAGATTTCAAACATCCACAGTTCTTCCTTTTATATTATTCTTATTGTCGGAAGTCAAGCTCATGAATTTTTTTGACCTTACTACAGGTGCGACTCCATGGGCGACCACTAGGAAATGTGTTTCAATGATCTAAGAGGGCCTCTACTAAATTTTGCAAATGCATATTCCTGCTTTGGTAAAGATGAGACAACAATGTCTTATAATAACTGCAATACAACCAAGATTAAATTTCAAGCTTAATCTATAGTTTGGACATCTGTAATACGATCACTGTTGATTTCTTAGCAAAACAGTAATTGTTCCATTTTCCACCTTAAGTGTGAACATAGAAAAATATTATTCTTAAAGTCCTTAGTATTGGAAAAAATATCAAGTTTTGATATGGCAAAACAATGGCACAAACCTGCAAGGGTATTGAAATCATCAATGAGGTACATATGCTCAGTATCAGGATCTGAAGCAATTAGGTTCAGCTCACGTAAGAATTCAGCTTGAGTTGGGTCTGTGGTATTTACAATACCAATTGCAAACATCTCTATGTTTGCAGCATGAGCCTCACGTACAGCAACATCCAGTTTAACAGTCTCCCTTCTGTCTGCCTGCCCATCTGTTAATACTACAGCAACTTTCTTCACACCAGGCCGAGCTCCATAGAATCCCTCCTGTGTTGCTTTGCGAATGGCAGTTCCAGTATGTGTGCCTTCTCCCATGTATAGCATTTTCCTGATTGCCTGTTTGACATCTTGCTGTGTAAGGTATCGACTTAGACCAAATTCTAATCGTACTTCCAAGCTGTAGAGCACAAGACCAATCCGGGTGGCATTTCTACCAACTGTTACTTTGTCAACGAGTGCAGTGACGAAATCTTTTATGATTTCAAAATTATCTGGACCCACACTCTCTGAACTATCAATCACAAAGACAAGTTCCATTGGTCTTTCTTTACATTTAATTCCACAACCTGTTAAGTAAAATAATTGAAATAATGCATTGATTACAAGTAGATACTATTTAAGAAGTGTCAGCATATCAAAGTTATATTTAAAACATATAAATAAGCTAAAATTATTAATAACTAATGTAGTACTGTTAGAAATAACAGATTAATGCTTTGGTGAACAGCTTCCATATAAACTTCCTGTCATTGCTAAAAAGCCAGGCAACAATTTGGATAGTAATATAGATAGAACTACAATACATTGAGTACATTTGACGATAGAACAGTTCAGAAATGTTTACAGGCATACAAGTATATGAAATACGAGCAGGAGTAGACCTTTTGGCCCCTTGAGCCCGCTCTCCCATTCAACAGATCCTGATTAATCTGTTTTGAATTTCACATTTCCACCTTCCCCTGATAACTCTCAATTCTCCTGCCTAACAAAAAACTATCCACCTTCACGTCAAAAGTACTTAATGACCCCAGCCTCCACCACCTTCTGAGACAGAGTTCCAAAGTTGCACAATCCTCGGAGAGAAAATAAACTCATTTCTGTCCATAAGGACAATGCCTAATTATTAAATAGCACTCTTTAGTCTTGAACTGATCCACAAGCAAAAACATCCTTCAAGCATCACCATGTCAAAACCAACTAGGATCTTCCACACTTCAATCAAGTCTCCCCTTACTCTTCCAAATTGCAATGGAAATAGGTCCACCCTGTCCAACCAATCTTTATAAAAGAACCCACTCATTCCAGGCATCAATCTAGTAAACCTTGTTTGAACTGCCTCTATGCATTTACTTCCTGCCTTAAAATGCAACAAAACAGAATACAGTGTTCAAGCTGCGCTCTCACCAATGACCTGTATAACTGAAACAAAACACCCTTACTTTTATGATCAATTCCTTTCATAATAAAAAAAAGCATCACGTTAGTCTTCTTCATTATGTGATATACCTGTGTAAGTACTTTGTGTGACTCATTCACTTGAATGTCTGAATTCCTCTGCACTTGAGAATTTTGCAGTTATTCTCCATCGAAGTAATACCTGCTTTTCATTCTTACTGCGAAGTGAACAAATTCATATCTTCCCATGTTTACTCCATCTGCTAGACTTTGGCCCACTCACTTGACCTAGCTAGATCTGTTTGTAAACTCCTTATATCCACTACACAACATACTTTTCTGCCTATCTTTTATTGTCTGTGAAGTTAGCGATCATGTCTTCGCTGCCTCATCCTTATAAGCGATGTAAATTGCAAAATGTTGTGGATCCAGTGCAGATAATTGTAGAACTCTACTTATCACATCCAGCCAGTCAGACAAAGATCAATTTATGCGTACTGTTTATTTTCTCTGTGTCAGCTAGCCAGTCTTCTATCCATGTTAATATGTTATCCTCTATACTATGAGATTTTATTTTCTGCAATAACTACATCAAAGATGACTTCTTAACAAATGCCTTCTGGAAATCCAAGTACAGTACATCTACAGGCTCCCCTTTATCCATTGTGCATATTAGTCCTTCAAAGAACTCCAATGAATTGGTTGCATGTAATTTTCCTTTCATTCCCAGGCACAAAAGATGATTAAAAAATGATTCTACCCATAAGTTTGAGTAATATCTTGAAGAAAATCTTAATTTTTTCTTTTCTAACGTAATGATCACCTTCATTACTTGGTTTTACCAATTATAACTGCTTAGAATAGACGGTACTATGACAACATAAAAAGAAATAGATCAAAAGATGACAGATAACTTACCACAGATTTCCTTTATCATTCTGATGATGTCCTCTCTCTAATTATATTTTTATAAATTAAATATGACAATAATTAATTAATTTTTAAAATAAAACCTCTGTACCAATAAGAAACAAGATGCAAAAATACTCATAAGCTTGTACTGGAATAATTTATTTTAAGAAGTGCAGTTTGTGAATTTGCTCATGAATTGTGATCATGAAATTGGAGAAAGAAAATGCTGGGAACTGAATATTTTCCATATGTCTACACATTTGTAATGTTACATATAGGGATGGGATACAGGAGGGATTGATATTTTATGCAATACGTGTCATTGTTTAGCTAGAAAATGGAGGCAGAGCGGAGTGTATTTTGATCTGCTGGTTAATGCTGGACTTCACTTGCGAATACATAATGCTCATTACAATTATGGGAAGCAGAAAATGATTTAACTTGTCATTCCAGTATTTCTCCATTTGATGGGCAAGTCATCTAAAATAGATGAAAACATGAATACGTGATGTCATTGTCATGTTCAATGACTTTCTTTTGATCATTTTGGCAGAGTTGGAAATAGGCACCTGGGTTACATGTGAATAATGTACTAATTAGGACGTTCTCTTTAAAGAAAATAAACAATCAGGAGCCTTTATGTTGCGAAATCTCAAGGTGCTATCACTGGATGTCATTTCCAGCCATGAACAGACGCAGATACAAAGACAAATGTCTCAGACACAGTAAAGGGGACAAAGGCAGTCATGTCAAGCAAAGGCTGTGACAAAGATGGATTGCAGCGGTCTAGGTAAAAATTATCTTGTTGAAGTCAAACACAACCTGCGATATGGAGAAAGAGTGTAATTGTTATTTTTGTTATTATGTGAATGCAATTATACTATGAACTGATGATGACGAACTACGTTAATCTTAATTGAATCTGAATTGTGTTTTATGTTCATTTGCTGTGAAATAAAGCAGCTCAATTAATTTATATCTGGACTTATCTTACCAATTGTTTACTCAGTTTGCTGCCAGGGAGATTGAGAAAAAATGTGAATGCGAATGACACATATATTGACCATATATGAATACCAAAACTGCTCAGAAAGTGTAAAGTGAAGACTGACCAAGGCAATCTCCTAGAATTATGACAATCATGCATTCTCAATTTAAACTAACTTGTTTTCAAATATCATTTCTTGTGTACTGTTATATGAGTAAAAGTAGCAAAAGAAGCATTATTAATTGTCCTTCAATGTATTCAATATCAATCAATATAATAGTCACACAAGGGTGGTAGGTTACCTTCGGTGAAGTACATTAACAAAGTATCAGATTTTACAAACAATTCAGTATTTCTAACATTACCCCACAAATAAATAATTTCATAACTTGCTGTGATTAGATTTGAATTTTAAACCTATGGGTTAGTGGTCCAGCTGCTTAACTGTAGACCAGAACATTCAGAACGGATACTCAGTTGACTGAATATGCAGAATCCAAGTACAGCACCAGTTCTGAACAAATAATTTTATCCAGCATACTGTTATATAGCAAAACTACTAGGAGGAAAAAGGAATTTCCTTTGAGGTTCTGCTGGACTCACGCTGTCATTTAAAAGAGTGCCTTGTGCCACCTGTTAGAAAATGGCAATGATCTGGTTAGAGATAGTAGGAACTGCAGATGCTGGAGAATCTGAGATAACAAGGCGTAGAGCTGGATGAACACAGCAGGCCAAGCAGCATCAGAGGAGCAGGAAAGCTGACGTTTTGGGCCTAGACCCTTCTTCAGAAATTTCTGAAGAGCATTTCTGAAGAAGGGTCTAGGCCTGAAACGCCAGCCTTCCTGCTTCAATGATCTGGTTACACCATTTCTAGAATTTTCCAACCAGCCTTTTAAAAGGTAAATGGCCTTCACTCCTGAAATATTGTATTAAAAAAAAGATTCAGTTTTGGACTCCTTATATTGACTTGGAGTAGCCCTTGCCAGCCTCAAAAGGTAGCTGTTTTCAGGATTTTCTGAATGCATGGGTCAGTTGGATCCTTTTTGTGGCCATAGGAAATAGGAGTCCTACTACTAACTGCTGAAATGTCAGTGAACACAGTGAAGGAGAATACCACTGGACGCAGTCCCAGATAGCTGCTTGGATTGTGGCCTGCAGATTTTTGGGGCTCACAGCTTTCTCACAAGTTACAAATGTATTTGTAATTCACTATTCCTGGAAATGGCAATTAATTGATATCAATAAACATTGCACTTTATCACAGAAAAATACAAAAAAGCTATATGCCCATCATGATGGTCAGTCTCTGGTTGGACCTTCCAATTTGTCCAACTGACAACCACCTGTATCATAGCTCTGCAATATTTTCTCTTCTAGTAATAATCCGATTTACTATGAATATATTACTGGATCGCCTTTGTGTTCCTGGTCATAAGAACTCACAGTGTAAAACAATATGTTCTCAACCACCTCCCCCCC